TCTTTCAAGTGCCACTGCGATACCAGTATTAACAGAACGATGTGATTCATCGCTCAAACAAACTGCCCTTTTAAATGCTATCAGCCGACGAAACTCGCGACGAAAAGGCGGACTCAAAGCACCATATATTATGGGGTTAAGAACACTGGAGGTCTGGAGCAGAAAGGGGATCATCACAGCCAATCCGTGTGGGGCCCTGCCTAAGATGAGCCTTGTTAGCAAGATGACTCCAAACGTGGGAATCCAGCAGAGCGCAAAAGCAAACACCATAATGAACAACACTTTGGATAGTTTGATTTCGTGAGCGGAAACGCCTTGAAGGGAGAGGAAGACGCCTGCATTGTGGCTACGTGTCGCTTTGGAAACTTGGTAATAACACACGCCGACCAAAGACAAACAGAAGACAACTAAAACGGACACGACAGTCAAAGTGAAGGCCACTTCTGATCCTTTGTTCGCAAAGGTGTAGGCACAAAACGAGGAAGCAGGCTGGAACGAAAACTCTGCCACGCCAAACGCTGTTGGATATAGAACGAACGCGGCAATTAGAAGCCATAGAACAGCGATGATGTAACATGAACGCTTGTCGCCGAAAACCTTCTTGTAGTATTGAGGCTTAACAACTCTGAAATACCGATTCACGGCGGTCAACGTCATCGTTGCCATAGAAACGTACGTTAGGAAATGTACCAGGAAGCCGCTTAGTCGACAACCAGGCATGCTGTAGACCAATCTCCCTGCGATGATGGCGCTAGCGAACGATGTCCCAGGTATTGAGGCGTTGAGGAGATCCGTTATCGCCAAAGCAGCGATGTAGATGTTGGTGGTGTTTCGTAGTCGTGGATTTCGATACAGGGCTGTTAAAATGAAGACGTTGCCTATTACAGAAAACACGATAAGCGTCACGGAAGCTATGGATTCGAAAATGATTAGTCCGGTACTTCTTGGAGGCAGAGCTGGCGAAGTCATCATCTATGTTAAATAGTAGATCTTTGTTACTTGTTATTCCTCGAGATTCAGTGAAATGTTGACGTCCTCGACTAAGGAGGATAAGAATTAATACCAACAGAAGAAATATAGTTTTGTTTTCTTCTTATATTAATTCGCCTCTAGCTTATTAATTGTCTTCAATAACATACCGTAGATCTAAAGTCGACACCCAGAAGTAACTCCCATCAGGAGGTATACCGCCGAGGGTTTCATTATAAGCATGGAGAATTGACGGGCAGCTTCTTCACTTCTTGATAGGTTAGTTCAGTCACAGAGAGGTCAGTGACTTTGCCTGGTGAATGTCGAACTGGAAATCGTTTACCTCATACTGGCATTCAGGTTTTCACTAGTTAAAGACGGCAGCGAGAATTCTCCAGGTCTCACAGTTGTGAAAAAGATCGGTCATCGATGAGCCCCGGCCGTTTTGTACCGAAGAATGTAAATCTGCTACAAACGTATAGCATTATCATTAAGCTTCCTTTGTTTCCATTTAAGACACTCCAAAAAGACGAAAGAAGAAAAATCACCGCACATTTAAACGGTAACTGCGTCAATATACAAAGTAAAAGACTGCTGTTTTGCACGAAAGGCCACAGCGAGCGCAATAAAAAATGCAATCATAAATCATCATGAAAAAACCCAGTATTTAATTACAGTTTGCTAATGAAGGCTAAAGGGGAAAAAAACCGACCTCATGTTTTGTCGGATTAGCTCGCTAAGCCAATTGCAGATTGCCACAGGACTGTTTACAGTTTTCGTATTTAGACTTGGAATCAAAACAGAGGTTAGATTTTAATCAGTATACAAATTTGAGCATCCTACCTAGACTATCAGAGTTGCAGTATTAACAGTAATTTTTCGAGTAATTGACTCTGAAAAAGGTCTTATAAATTACAAGAGACATATTTTGTCCATATTCCTCTTTCCGACTTTGCACAAAGTAATTTAATCTCAAACATTAAAACACCTTATCTTTGATTTTCTCGTCAAAAAGCGAAAAACGTTTCATTTCCTCTTGATTGCCCAGGGCTTAAAAGTGCTCGAAAATTTACATGATAAATATACCTCTATATTTGTTTATCCTTTTCAAACTTACTTCCGTGAACTTATTGAAAACTGGATTTATGAAGTACGTGCAATTACTACCTGCAGTGGCCAATGGAAACAAAAGTAATGTCTTCTGCGTTTAGCGGCAGTGGCTATTTGCAAACTGACGGAGCTTTTGAAACTCGGTAATGTCTCGAACCGTTTTGTAATTCTAAAAGCTGTACACAGCTATACAACTTGCAAAGTCTTTCAGACTCGTTAAAGCAGAACACCGCACAAGACAGCTTTCAAATAGCCATTTATCATTACTTCCAATTTTCTGGGTAAACAGTATTTTCAGAAAGCAGTAATTGTTTTCACACAAGAAAATTGCGGTTAAATTAATGAATTTTTGGCCTACACAATAATTCACTTCTTAGAAAAAGAAAAAAAAAATCGTTGCTGATGAATTTAAATCACGCCTTCATATCACGGATGTGAAAAAAAGCAGACTTGTGGGATGTGGCTGAAAACGGTAAAGTAAAGTGCAATGAAAACTCTAAGCTTTCCTTTACACTTAATAAAAAAAAAAGTCATATCACGGACTCGAAGCTAATTTGGGCGGTCAGCGTCAAGATTATTTTTCCGCGACCAGTTTCAAGTGTATTCAAAAATACTTTATATTCGTAAGCCCTTGTTGTTTAACTTTCGCGGAGTAACTCCCCTTTCATTTCGTTTTAAGCGATCTGTTGTTTTCAGCGTTTTGCCCCAAGGCTAAGCCATAAGCAATGTAGATAACCGCCCAACAATTTTCTTGTTCTAGAACCTACTAACTGATATCTGTTACAGTGTACTGACGAAACACAAAACACTTAAAACACAGTGGGATGCGGCGAATACACGTATAATCCAACACATATTCAAATATAATCCACGGGTAGGTATATAATTCCACTATGAAATCAAAATAGCGATAGCTAACCCCCTTTTTTTTCTTAACTCCCAAAATAAACGATCAGCAAGCCAGACACAAACATTGACAAAGAGATTAAAACAGCTGCTTTGCAAGCAAGTTTCTCGTGGTCACCTTTACCGGAAACCTGGGTCTAGAAATAAGATAAGCTGTTTTTTTGTTCTTGTTGCTATGAAAACCATAATAAAACCCCCTTAAAGCTCCCTAATCAATTTATGTCAAAACGTAACTAAAAATACACGATCAACAAGCCAGACACAAACATTGACAAAGAGATTAAAACAGCTGCCTAGCAAGCAAGTTTGTCGTGGTCACCTTCACCAGAGACCTGGGTCTAGAAATAAGATAAGCTGGTTTTTTTTTCTTGTTGCTATGACAACCATAATAAAACCCCCTTACAGCTCCCTAATCAGTTTATGTCAAAACATAATTTGCGGACTTGGGAATATAAGTAAACAAAAGTGATATATTTTCTTTTCCTATCAAGAAAATGACATTAATAATAATAGTAAAAAAAAAATGCCTCCAGCGCCCTGTCGTGACAAAAGGCTCCCTGTGTTAAATTATTTCGTACAAGTGGTGCTCGGAGGGCTTCTAAATAATTTTTTAAGGAAGAAAGCTTAGTCCAAATGTCTTGCCACAACCTGCGAATTTATTCTCAGGCAACGTGCGCCATACGCTGAAGGAATTTGAAAACGGAGATTTCGCTCTGTAAACGCATCAAATGTTTTCCGTCCACACTAGGCCGGAGGAGTTTAAGAACACAACAGTCACCGGTCAATTTGGAATAGTGTTTGAAGAAACCTCGGTCAGGGAAATCACGTGGTTATCGTGACGTCATCATTTTCGAAAAGCTCCGTTTTCGAAATGTTTCCATCCACACGAAAACGAAAAAACCGGCGTTTTCAAATTCCTCCGGTTTGAAGAGCGTTTTCGTAAAGCTCCGTTTGCGTGACGGATTAGTGTGGACGGTAGGCCTTACGGTAGAATTACTGACAATTGCTTTCTGGTGAGGGGTAATGTTAATCTTTCAGTGCTCGTGGATAGCGGGTATACTACCGTAAAACTACTGAGCGATTTCTTTATGATGAAATTAATTTTCACAACAAACACTGCAGCTTCCAAGACACTAAAATCATCTGTTAATTTTTATTTATTTATTTATTTATTTTGCTCGTCAATGGCGCTTTTTAGAGAGCAATTTATATGATCATTTTCAGAGCTTTGTAATTTTTCTAAGAGTTCATGTGTCTCTTGTCTGAACCGAGGCACTTGTTGGTGGTGTATCGATTTACATGCTTTCTTCAATTCAGGGGTAGCCATGAGAGGAATTCTCGCGCGTTTGTCCTCGCGTGCTAACAAACTCAAGTTATTATTATTTTTAAAAATGCCTAATGGCTGACTACCTAACTACCAATAAATTTCCTGCCAGAAGATACGAAGAGGGAGGTTCGGACCGGTCACGACAGACTTCAACTAAAATATCAATCAGTGAAGGCATGAATGAAAGAGGATCAAAATATCCCGGGGGAGGGGTTCTCCCTTAAGCCTACCTGGGACAAAGCCGCCGGCGCGGTCTGGGACACCGTTGCGGCATATGTGAACATATATCGTCGAATCATAATCTGTGCCAGGCATTGACCACCGGACGCCGGACGCAATATGCGGACGCAACGTACTCCAGTGAGACCATTCGATCCATATTTACAGGTGGAATGGTTGAAATTGCCCCCATTCGATTTGCATTTCGCGCTTTTGAGTACGTCGGCAATCCATCGCAGATGCGCCGGAACCCACTGGAACATATCGCGCGCCGAACATTTTCAGTTGCAACCGGCGTCGGCGGGATATGAGAACAAATTTTCTCTTGCTGGGCTATATAGCAGGTATATGCTTCCCCAAAGGGTATGGTTTTTCAGCCGTTTTGGTCATAAATANCATTCCTATGAGTGTTACTGCCACCCAATATCATCTAGCGAGTATTTCTCACAGAAGAACTGGAACACAAGACAATATTTTTGGTCTTTTAATTTATTCAGGTCACGGTTATATAGAGCAACCATTTCGCTGGATCTAGATAGAGATTGTTGTGTCATTTCAGCCTATAAATTAGGTATCAAAGCCGCGAATACGCTCGCTTAGGTCTCTTCGAAATTCAACGTTTCCATCTCATATGCAAGTCCTACGCATTACGAGTGATCCCGCGCACGGAGCGTTAGAAGTGGTTATGAAGGTGAGTGAAAGAGAGAGTAACAGCAAAGTGGGTTGGCTCCGGGCCTTCCAATTCAGCAAAACACTGGCTACTAATTCTCCTGCCAATCTAATAAACAATTATTATATTATGAGCCCGAGATTTCTATCTCGTATAAAAATTGAGAGGGATTAATCTAATTGATTTTAAAATATACCTATTACTGCCCTCGTTCATAACTTTATCTAAATCCTTTCGCACACACTCCGAAAACGCAAAGAAGCGTGTGATAAAATCATTACATTGAAAACAGAAGTCAAAGAATATCCGATCTGGATATATATTCGACAGAGGTTTGGTCAAGAAGCGAGAGCAGCCTTCGCAAAACTACTACCAGTGTGAAGGGCTGAGCAGAAATTACAGTAGAAGTACATGATTAAGATCTACCAAGCTTTTGTACTCTCTGTGTTACTCTATCGATAAAAACTGGACTGCAGTTTGGATCACTTAGGTACATCACTCACTAATAACCTTTTTTGATGTACTCACAGTTCACATTTTGAGACTAGAAAATGTTCCTTTAAACCGGGCTGCATCTTTTTCCATTGCCGCTCACGCCATCATTAAGTGGTCGGCTTTTCTTCCATAGTCTCAAGCATAATGAAAGCAGTCTACGCTTTAAGGATTCTTATGGAGAAAACATGACTTGGCGTTTTCAGCTGAGCTTGTCAGGAGGTCTGAAAAATTTTCAAGAACTTTTTTAGGGCTATGCGAATCAAGCTAGATCCAGGCAACCTTTTGCTCTTCACGTTGTGGTAGATTGTTTAGCCCATTTCGCTCCGAACAGAAAATGTCTGAAACCGAGTTGTGACGAACAGAGATTTGCTCAAGGGCTAGGCCTCTTTCAAGTGCCACTGCGATACCAGTATTAACAGAACGATGTGATTCATCGCTCAAACAAACTGCCCTTTTAAATGCTATCAGCCGACGAAACTCGCGACGAAAAGGCGGACTCAAAGCACCATATATTATGGGGTTAAGAACACTGGAGGTCTGGAGCAGAAAGGGGATCATCACAGCCAATCCGTGTGGGGCCCTGCCTAAGATGAGCCTTGTTAGCAAGATGACTCCAAACGTGGGAATCCAGCAGAGCGCAAAAGCAAACACCATAATGAACAACACTTTGGATAGTTTGATTTCGTGAGCGGAAACGCCTTGAAGGGAGAGGAAGACGCCTGCATTGTGGCTACGTGTCGCTTTGGAAACTTGGTAATAACACACGCCGACCAAAGACAAACAGAAGACAACTAAAACGGACACGACAGTCAAAGTGAAGGCCACTTCTGATCCTTTGTTCGCAAAGGTGTAGGCACAAAACGAGGAAGCAGGCTGGAACGAAAACTCTGCCACGCCAAACGCTGTTGGATATAGAACGAACGCGGCAATTAGAAGCCATAGAACAGCGATGATGTAACATGAACGCTTGTCGCCGAAAACCTTCTTGTAGTATTGAGGCTTAACAACTCTGAAATACCGATTCACGGCGGTCAACGTCATCGTTGCCATAGAAACGTACGTTAGGAAATGTACCAGGAAGCCGCTTAGTCGACAACCAGGCATGCTGTAGACCAATCTCCCTGCGATGATGGCGCTAGCGAACGATGTCCCAGGTATTGAGGCGTTGAGGAGATCCGTTATCGCCAAAGCAGCGATGTAGATGTTGGTGGTGTTTCGTAGTCGTGGATTTCGATACAGGGCTGTTAAAATGAAGACGTTGCCTATTACAGAAAACACGATAAGCGTCACGGAAGCTATGGATTCGAAAATGATTAGTCCGGTACTTCTTGGAGGCAGAGCTGGCGAAGTCATCATCTATGTTAAATAGTAGATCTTTGTTACTTGTTATTCCTCGAGATTCAGTGAAATGTTGACGTCCTCGACTAAGGAGGATAAGAATTAATACCAACAGAAGAAATATAGTTTTGTTTTCTTCTTATATTAATTCGCCTCTAGCTTATTAATTGTCTTCAATAACATACCGTAGATCTAAAGTCGACACCCAGAAGTAACTCCCATCAGGAGGTATACCGCCGAGGGTTTCATTATAAGCATGGAGAATTGACGGGCAGCTTCTTCACTTCTTGATAGGTTAGTTCAGTCACAGAGAGGTCAGTGACTTTGCCTGGTGAATGTCGAACTGGAAATCGTTTACCTCATACTGGCATTCAGGTTTTCACTAGTTAAAGACGGCAGCGAGAATTCTCCAGGTCTCACAGTTGTGAAAAAGATCGGTCATCGATGAGCCCCGGCCGTTTTGTACCGAAGAATGTAAATCTGCTACAAACGTATAGCATTATCATTAAGCTTCCTTTGTTTCCATTTAAGACACTCCAAAAAGACGAAAGAAGAAAAATCACCGCACATTTAAACGGTAACTGCGTCAATATACAAAGTAAAAGACTGCTGTTTTGCACGAAAGGCCACAGCGAGCGCAATAAAAAATGCAATCATAAATCATCATGAAAAAACCCAGTATTTAATTACAGTTTGCTAATGAAGGCTAAAGGGGAAAAAAACCGACCTCATGTTTTGTCGGATTAGCTCGCTAAGCCAATTGCAGATTGCCACAGGACTGTTTACAGTTTTCGTATTTAGACTTGGAATCAAAACAGAGGTTAGATTTTAATCAGTATACAAATTTGAGCATCCTACCTAGACTATCAGAGTTGCAGTATTAACAGTAATTTTTCGAGTAATTGACTCTGAAAAAGGTCTTATAAATTACAAGAGACATATTTTGTCCATATTCCTCTTTCCGACTTTGCACAAAGTAATTTAATCTCAAACATTAAAACACCTTATCTTTGATTTTCTCGTCAAAAAGCGAAAAACGTTTCATTTCCTCTTGATTGCCCAGGGCTTAAAAGTGCTCGAAAATTTACATGATAAATATACCTCTATATTTGTTTATCCTTTTCAAACTTACTTCCGTGAACTTATTGAAAACTGGATTTATGAAGTACGTGCAATTACTACCTGCAGTGGCCAATGGAAACAAAAGTAATGTCTTCTGCGTTTAGCGGCAGTGGCTATTTGCAAACTGACGGAGCTTTTGAAACTCGGTAATGTCTCGAACCGTTTTGTAATTCTAAAAGCTGTACACAGCTATACAACTTGCAAAGTCTTTCAGACTCGTTAAAGCAGAACACCGCACAAGACAGCTTTCAAATAGCCATTTATCATTACTTCCAATTTTCTGGGTAAACAGTATTTTCAGAAAGCAGTAATTGTTTTCACACAAGAAAATTGCGGTTAAATTAATGAATTTTTGGCCTACACAATAATTCACTTCTTAGAAAAAGAAAAAAAAAATCGTTGCTGATGAATTTAAATCACGCCTTCATATCACGGATGTGAAAAAAAGCAGACTTGTGGGATGTGGCTGAAAACGGTAAAGTAAAGTGCAATGAAAACTCTAAGCTTTCCTTTACACTTAATAAAAAAAAAAGTCATATCACGGACTCGAAGCTAATTTGGGCGGTCAGCGTCAAGATTATTTTTCCGCGACCAGTTTCAAGTGTATTCAAAAATACTTTATATTCGTAAGCCCTTGTTGTTTAACTTTCGCGGAGTAACTCCCCTTTCATTTCGTTTTAAGCGATCTGTTGTTTTCAGCGTTTTGCCCCAAGGCTAAGCCATAAGCAATGTAGATAACCGCCCAACAATTTTCTTGTTCTAGAACCTACTAACTGATATCTGTTACAGTGTACTGACGAAACACAAAACACTTAAAACACAGTGGGATGCGGCGAATACACGTATAATCCAACACATATTCAAATATAATCCACGGGTAGGTATATAATTCCACTATGAAATCAAAATAGCGATAGCTAACCCCCTTTTTTTTCTTAACTCCCAAAATAAACGATCAGCAAGCCAGACACAAACATTGACAAAGAGATTAAAACAGCTGCTTTGCAAGCAAGTTTCTCGTGGTCACCTTTACCGGAAACCTGGGTCTAGAAATAAGATAAGCTGTTTTTTTGTTCTTGTTGCTATGAAAACCATAATAAAACCCCCTTAAAGCTCCCTAATCAATTTATGTCAAAACGTAACTAAAAATACACGATCAACAAGCCAGACACAAACATTGACAAAGAGATTAAAACAGCTGCCTAGCAAGCAAGTTTGTCGTGGTCACCTTCACCAGAGACCTGGGTCTAGAAATAAGATAAGCTGGTTTTTTTTTCTTGTTGCTATGACAACCATAATAAAACCCCCTTACAGCTCCCTAATCAGTTTATGTCAAAACATAATTTGCGGACTTGGGAATATAAGTAAACAAAAGTGATATATTTTCTTTTCCTATCAAGAAAATGACATTAATAATAATAGTAAAAAAAAAATGCCTCCAGCGCCCTGTCGTGACAAAAGGCTCCCTGTGTTAAATTATTTCGTACAAGTGGTGCTCGGAGGGCTTCTAAATAATTTTTTAAGGAAGAAAGCTTAGTCCAAATGTCTTGCCACAACCTGCGAATTTATTCTCAGGCAACGTGCGCCATACGCTGAAGGAATTTGAAAACGGAGATTTCGCTCTGTAAACGCATCAAATGTTTTCCGTCCACACTAGGCCGGAGGAGTTTAAGAACACAACAGTCACCGGTCAATTTGGAATAGTGTTTGAAGAAACCTCGGTCACGGAAATCACGTGATTATCGTGACGTCATCATTTTCGAAAAGCTCCGTTTTCGAAATGTTTCCATCCACACGAAAACGAAAAAACCGGCGTTTTCAAATTCCTCCGGTTTGAAGAGCGTTTTCGTAAAGCTCCGTTTGCGTGACGGATTAGTGTGGACGGTAGGCCTTACGGTAGAATTACTNCCGGCGTTTTCAAATTCCTCCGGTTTGAAGAGCGTTTTCGTAAAGCTCCGTTTGCGTGACGGATTAGTGTGGACGGTAGGCCTTACGGTAGAATTACTGACAATTGCTTTCTGGTGAGGGGTAATGTTAATCTTTCAGTGCTCGTGGATAGCGGGTATACTACCGTAAAACTACTGAGCGATTTCTTTATGATGAAATTAATTTTCACAACAAACACTGCAGCTTCCAAGACACTAAAATCATCTGTTAATTTTTATTTATTTATTTATTTATTTTGCTCGTCAATGGCGCTTTTTAGAGAGCAATTTATATGATCATTTTCAGAGCTTTGTAATTTTTCTAAGAGTTCATGTGTCTCTTGTCTGAACCGAGGCACTTGTTGGTGGTGTATCGATTTACATGCTTTCTTCAATTCAGGGGTAGCCATGAGAGGAATTCTCGCGCGTTTGTCCTCGCGTGCTAACAAACTCAAGTTATTATTATTTTTAAAAATGCCTAATGGCTGACTACCTAACTACCAATAAATTTCCTGCCAGAAGATACGAAGAGGGAGGTTCGGACCGGTCACGACAGACTTCAACTAAAATATCAATCAGTGAAGGCATGAATGAAAGAGGATCAAAATATCCCGGGGGAGGGGTTCTCCCTTAAGCCTACCTGGGACAAAGCCGCCGGCGCGGTCTGGGACACCGTTGCGGCATATGTGAACATATATCGTCGAATCATAATCTGTGCCAGGCATTGACCACCGGACGCCGGACGCAATATGCGGACGCAACGTACTCCAGTGAGACCATTCGATCCATATTTACAGGTGGAATGGTTGAAATTGCCCCCATTCGATTTGCATTTCGCGCTTTTGAGTACGTCGGCAATCCATCGCAGATGCGCCGGAACCCACTGGAACATATCGCGCGCCGAACATTTTCAGTTGCAACCGGCGTCGGCGGGATATGAGAACAAATTTTCTCTTGCTGGGCTATATAGCAGGTATATGCTTCCCCAAAGGGTATGGTTTTTCAGCCGTTTTGGTCATAAATAGGGCATCAATTTTGGCTATTTTGGTCATAAATAGAGTATGGTTTTTGCCAGGCTAGTCTTATTATAGGTATGGTTTTAAGAAGAAGCCACTTTTTCAGCATTATCGAAAAGAAAACCAACAAAAGCCCCTCATAAATTCTGATTACGGCAATTTAACATTAATCTGAACTAGGGAACTCCGTAAAAACTAAAATCTTAATTCAAAATTTTCCGTCGGGTGTCTGGAAAACCCGAATAGCGAATAGCAAATAGCCGCGAATAGCGAACAGCGAATAGTCCCGAATAGCGATTAGCGAATAGTAGGAATAGTGCGAATGGTCTCGAATAGTGCGAATAGCGGCGCACAGTCTCGAATAGTGGCGTATAGTGGCAAATAGTGGCAAATCGTAGCAAATAGGGTACCCAGTATCTCGCAGTCAACCGCGCTGCAACGTAGGATGGGATTTTCCCGCTAAAAAGCACAGATGCTTATCAGGACAAAACGTGTCTCTAAAGGTAATTTCATCTGTTTTAACCGCTGCAAAAGCGTAAATACGTCTTTATTAGGTTATCCTTGTGTTTTCTGCTGTCTTAATGTCGGCGATGGGCAACCCTAACCTGAGTCCGGAGAAGAAAAGGTAATAAATTCACTGAAATTCTGTTGCTTATTTGGATAATTAATTAACGCAGGATATTAGATCTAAATCGGTGACTATTGACGACTATTCGTCACTACTCGACACTTTTCGCGACTGTTCACCACTATTCGCACTATTCGAGACTATCTGCACTATTCGGGACTATTCGCTATTCGTTATTCGCGACTATTCGCTATTCGCTATTCGGGTTTTCCAGACACCTTTTTTCGTCTTACCTCAGCACCAGAACAAAAGCTGACTTTTAAAGTTGTCAGCTATTGTTCTGGTGCTGAGGTATGACGAAAAATCTTAAATTAAGATTTTAGTTTTTACGGAATCACTAACTCGAACCAAAATCGATTTCCCCTGGAATTCCGTCATACATTTACTATAATTTTACCCTCGGTAACTTCGAACTCTCGATAACTCAAACCTCCCGCTAACCCGAAGCAATTTTCGTTTCCTGTCAGGTCATTTTCTATATAATTTCACCCTCGATAACTCGAACCATATCTGTCAATACTTGACGAGTCAAAACAAACAGTGTACTGTGGTCCAAAACATTAAATTTATTTTTCAGCAGCCGTGTGAACTTTTTTCTTTCTTTTACATTACACAAAACGTGTCAATTCAGTTCAGGTTCCACTGGTTTTCACAAAGTGTTGCTTCTTAACTCCTTATCCAAAATGTCAATAAATCTCTTGGCTTTCATGAAGTGCAGTTAAATTTGATTAAAATGTACCCTGCATGAATAGAAAAACATTCAACACCGTTTTTTCCTGTTTTCCGGTCATTTGTTCTCAACTCCCGATAACTCTAACTCCTTATAACTCGAACCGTGTTCAATTTCCCTTGAAGGTTCGAGTTATCGGGAGTCGACAAGGCAGGTCTGAAACAGTATTTTGATACAAGGGTCAGGTCATAAATAAGACCCGAATTTTTGGTCAGGTCATAAATATTGCAGGGAAAATCACATATTTTGGTCATAAATAGGGTAAGGGTTTTTGAGAAGCGGACCGCACACCCCTACCCAATTTTTCTGGGAGTAACCCCCNCCCCCCCCCCCCAAACACACATCCGGGCAACAAGCAAAATTAGTCTGTCAGTAACACCTATATTGTTGTTTCACGTATTTAGCTATTAAATTTTCTAACTTTGTCCAGGAGTCCCTCGGTAGCCCAATCGGTTACGCATCTGACCTGCTGTGCGGTCGTAAGGGCATATATACGCTCGACGCCAGTCGGGGGACTCCGCTTTTATTTTTTTCTTTCTCGTTACAGCCTGATATATTTTTTGTGCAATCCTCTTTTCTTCCGTTTGAAGTAAGTTTGATTTGTGTGAAAATACTTTTCAAGAAAGGGCATCAACCCTAAGTTACCGTGAAGTGCCAATGTACCCATGCCTTGATTTTTCTTAAGCCCTCTTTATTAGTACAAAGTTAAAAACGAGTATGCGAAGACCTTAGAAAGGATGGAGATACCAGAGCAAATGGGACACCAAGCGTTGTAAACATATGATTTAACAACCGACTTGAAAAAAGCTTTCTAAACATGCAAAATTATTCAAAATTCTTCATAATGGTATTCTTTGAATTTTATAGGAGTCTGGCACAGAACTAGACTTTGGCCTAAGTTTTGACAGCTTTTAAAGGGTTTCATACAGGCCTCGAAATAATTTGTTAGAGGAACGAGAATCAATAGAGTGGAGATAAGTTATTGAGACACCAATCTGTTTTAGGTCTGAAATTTTTGTTAACGGCACGTTTGTAAAAGTTGAGATCAGGTTGTCAGTGGCAACTACATTGTTGTTTCACGATTTTGGCTATTAAATTTTCTAACCTA